GATCTGTGTCATTTGCACGAAGCGGTTTCACTTTACTTAGCCGCCCGTTTTCCTCGAACAAATTACTAACTAGAACGCGAAAGTGTGTAAATCGATGACACGTATTGTTTCGCCCGCGGCCTGCGAAAAGCGCACTCGTGAATTGTCATCGCAAAACTCGTAAAAATAAAACAGTTATAAATAAATAAAAACAGAGATATCGACGAACTGAATAGGACAAGCGATCGCTGAATATGATCCATTAGCGACAGATATTTATTTTTTTCTCACTTTATTATTTTACTAATATTTTATATAAAATTTAAGCAAAATTTGGAAAATAATAAAATGGATTTTATTAAAATAACCACATTTTTCAACGTCGATTCCAGAATAAACACTTAATCTTTGATAACTAAAAATAAAAAAATCAAAAAACATAAAGCGTGAAGAACAGCAAAAAGTTATTACATTTTTACGCGTATTTTATTATTGTATGTATACCGATATAAAAAGTTTGTATAAAAATCGGAACTGTCCCGATAAAATCAGTACTCTGTCATCTTTATTTTTTGTTAACAAATATTACAATTTACGAGAAAAAAATATTATTATCTGTCTGCTCGGATTTAATTAGCAAATATGAAAGTTTTTCCATTTCGAAAGAGAGGAAACTCAAACGATCTAATTGTGCGTAGAAGGAAGTGAAGAATTACACAAATTAATTTATCGCTTGGCGAAACGGTTCGTCGGTCACGGAAACAAAAATATCTCATTTTGTCGGGTGAGACGTATCTACGATGCGCGCGGGAGAGAGAAGTTCTATATTTTTCCAATATTTAATTAAGAGTTTCGTCATTCATCGCGCGCGCGAGATAACAAAACTTCCAGCCGTTATTAAAGTCGCGGGTCTTCCGCAGCGAATAAAATAAATTAAACCCTCCGCGGGGCGAGAAACTAGAGCATCCGAGTTTTCTTATCATTTCTTAACATGCCGGCGAAGTTACGAGCATATTTTATGGTGCACGCGCCGCGCACCGTATTTAATAAACGAATCTACATAGTAGTCTACGACGTAATTCCATCTTGTTTTCCGGGATGACTCAATTTTATATTCGCAACTTTGTCGACCTGCAAAACGTATAGATGATACCTAAGTGTATCTTTGACCAATCCCGAGCCGCGCTATTGCAAATTGCGATTGCAAATACAAATTCACCTATAATTCTGTTCATTTTCCTTCTCTTTTTTATCTTCGTATTGATTACATCGTGCGTGGGAAAATATCAACGTCGGCCGCGAATGACGTCGCGCGACCTGTTTAGCGTAAAAACGCGAAGTCGCTAAGCTAGATTGTAAAATTACGCGAGCAACTGGGTCAATCTGCCCCTGTCCACGTGTTATTATACGTGCGCGGTGTCAGTGTTACGACGAGCGCTACGCGCTGAAAGTGGCGGACCTGCTTTCAAGTGATAAAAGTATAATCAAGGTTGACCAGCGGCGGCGGTGGCGGCGGCGGCAGCAACGGTCGATCCCTTTTGCATAAATCTTGAGACTAACTCGCGCGGGAAGAGAAATAATCAAGGCTAACCGTAACTCGCACAAAGTGTGTTTTCTCAAGACCCAGAATTAGCAAAGTTGTGTTTAGCAACAATCGGTCTCTGATTGCATTGATTCAACGCCTGATTGTTTCTCCTTAACGTTTCACGTTACAGGGTCGATGGAAAAAGTGGTTCATTACTCAAGAATATCCCCTCAGTCATTTTCGAGACTCAATGAAACGTGCAAAGTCGTATTTATAAAATTCTTGCACTCGTCGTATTTATAAAATTCTTTCACTCTAGATGTGAAAGTTTTTGACTTAACATCCCGAGTTGCCGGACGTTAACGTTGTCAGCGCACCTGCCATCACAAAAGGCTGACGCTTCCTCTCCGGACGAGAGAAAAAAAAAAAGTTTAGCCTACAAAGCGGTAATAAAAAAAATACACCTTGAACCATAACGATTCACAAAGAAGCGCCCTTCGTCACGTTGTCCGTCCCCTCCCCCTGTTTTGCAGGTCTCGCCGCGTCGCCGCCGCCGCCGCCGCCGTCGTCGTCGTCGTTTTCCACCCGGCATTTAGTGGAAACAACAAAGTGCGTGTCCCAGGCACGCGCGCTCGCGTGCCAAGCGAGCGTGTGAGAACGGCGTGTTGTCGTGCGTGTGAATCCGCGTGTGCCGACGCGGGCGACGTTAATGTTTGCAATCACAAGTTGGAAAGTTTTGTGATGGCAACCGCTCCGTCGGCCAGTTACCCTGGTAACGCTTTGTTGTGCCATTGTGCCGTGCTGCGGCGGCGGCGGCAGCGGCAGAGGAGGGTCGGCAGAAATCCACCCCCGATCGTCCGTCCTTCCTTCCTTCCTTCCCACCTCCGAGAAATTGGATGAAACAGCCGAGCTAATCCCTCTCCTCTCCTGTTCTCGTACCCTCAGCTCCACGATTGCCACTCGGGGACGAACTAACCTCGGCTTGACCTAGCCCAAACTGCCCCCTTGTATCCATCGCCAACGACGAATAAAGAGCTCACGTTTCCACTGGACCCGCGACGAATCCGTAATCCCTTCCAAATTCTCATTTAAACGAGCGATCGTCGAATTACGAAAAGGATCGAGAGTTATTGAGAAGTCAATATGCGCACATAAGTTTCGAATCTGTTGGTTTGCCGCCAGTTCAAACAAAACGATTCGTATAACAAAAGCAAATTAATTGGAAATTATTTGCTGAGAGAAAACAATTTAATATACTTTAAGTTACTTAGCACCTTGGAGCAAAACGAGCGAGACGAGAGAATCGATCGGTTGAAAGTTTTCGGGTAACAGCTTATGATTCAAAATGAGGCCAAAGCAAATTCCGATTTTGTACGAGTCCGAGAAGCTCGGTTCATCATATTTACGTTCCGTTCGGCGTAATGCGTAGCAGATATTGTACGTACAATCGAGTCGCTCTATCGCTATCGCGAGATATAATGAAGAAAAGCTCGAGTTGTATCACTGGGAAAAAAAAAAGAAGTATGCCGCTTCCCAAACGACTGTGTTCGCGAAGAGATAAAAATTTCTTTCAGACTGAAGACTATTAATAGAATTGTTACTCGGAGAATTTTTAGCCGACCGCGCGTATTCTGCGATATCGCAACGTACATATTTATACACAGATACGAATAGTATCGCAATAAATTATTATTTTCAGTAGAAGACACAAATTTTACATAGTGTTCAAGAACAGTTGAAGAAAATTGCGATACTATTGAAACTTAATTTTTAATTATAAACGTAACTCTAAATTTTGTTGTAATTTTAAAAATCTATATGTGTAAATTTTTAAGACATATACTACGTTGTATATTTTTACTATTTTGAGTATCTTTTATAGAGCTTTATGTTTAGACAACTTTTGACATAAAATCAACGCGTATCGTATTTTCTTTGAAATTCAGAACACTTTTATTTGAAAATCGAGATGTTGTTCAACCATAGTCCGATTGCAGACATCGCTCTCATAAAAATACATTCGATACAGATTTATTGGCGGAACAACACGTTTCCCGCTCGAGTGTGCCAGAAAAAAAAAAAAAAAGCTTCATATTTCTCCGCTTGTGCGAGACAATCTTCGCAAAGAACGAAAACCTCTGTATTCGCGGTGTTATTGCCAGGATAATATTCGCCACGGTTCTTTAAACAAACGAGATACAAAACCTCGTGTTCTCGTTAACGAGTGAAAAAAAAAAAACGATAATTTTCTATGTAAAAAAAAAAATCGACGAAGTCGTGTGACGATAAACATGTTTCGTCGGAAATATCCGCGTCGCATGACGCAACGGGTCGCGTTAGTTGCTAAAACTTCGTTCGGAAAAATTAAATTTCAAGAATTATCGAATCTACACATAAACGAACCTCTGTGTTTTTCGTTACAAAATTCTAGAAACGCTCGATATTCTACGAACAAATGTTCATTTCGCGCGTAACAACGCTCTCGTCATTCTACTGCTTATCGCGCGAGATAATGTCCGCTCTGATACGAGATTTTTCTATGGTTGAAAAACAACGATACGATTTTAATTGACGAACAATATTCCTCGAATATTGATAACGCAATAATAATATAAAAGTTTAAACGGTCTCGTAAAAAATAGAATGTTCAAAACCAATTTGTTTCTTTTTATATACGTTCACGCCAAATATCGCGAATATTTTATTAGAATAATCTCATACGTATATTATTTTATCAACACCAAAACTTTCCAAATGAGAAAAACATAGTATCTATTTATGTTAGAAAGCAATCAAAATAACCGGTTTATAAAAATACACATCGACAGTGAGAAAAACACTTTTTTTACTCAATAAGTTAAAAAGAAAAATATATTACAAATTTGTGCGACTTATCAGCAATTACGAACCAGTTATTTTAATTGTTATGATCAGAATCGGCGTTAACGGTTACTATACCGCGGTTTAGTGAAGCGCACCGAGTGACAATGCGATAAATAAAAACGTAAAAAAAAAAAAAGTATCCACGCTACCGAAGATATCGACTCGAAGCTTCTGCCGTCGCATGTACAAAGCGCTCACGCGGGGTCGTATCGCGTGTCGCTGGAGTATACGCGTGTATAACCTCCAAAACGCAACGCGTACACGAGCGGCGTATACCGCGTCGTTATACGCGGGATATTCTACGTAAAAAAAAGAAACAAATTCATTGAAATAGAAAGAATCTGAACGTCAGGATTGGAAGTAAACGGCGATCGCGATCGAACGCGAAGAGATACGGCGAGGATGCGTGCGACGTGTCCCACGACGTGTCAATGATTCGATCGAAATTAACCCCTCCGGAAGGACGGTTAAAAAAAAGGAAACGAGTGTCCCACCGGTCGGAAGCGACGCGTCCTCACGACGCGTGACGTATCACGTTCCGCGCGCGACTCTCCGCGTCCGTCGGTCGCCGATCGGCGCGCGTTTTCGGACAAGAGCACGATTATCAACTTACTTGCTACGTACGTGTTGTTCCCTGTTCTGTTCGCAATCCGCCGTAGAACAAATCCAATGTAACCCGGACGAATTCCGACGCACAAACACGAAACTTCGGCAATCACGTCGCAATTGGTCGCAATGGCGAACCGCGGGTGCGTTGTAATCAGCGATCGCAAGCTGCTGCCATCTTGCGATAACTCGAGCGAGATACTCGCGACGCCATGTTGGCCGAGTCGATTGGCGGAGCTCGATTGCTCGTGCGACTGCGCCGATTTACGCGGGAACCCGTTTCGCGCGACGCCGCCATCTTGGTCGACTGGTTCGAATCGAGATGTCGACAACGAATTGCTAATTTATACCGATTCTTTCTCGCTCATTTTGCTTGCACTTCTCGTAGAAATGTCACGAAATAATTATTCTTTGTTTTTAGAGAAAAAGTAAAACTATTAATTACAGAAAATGCAACTTGTAACGAGCAACTTGATGCTGTGATTGACGCAGAAATTGAAAGAGAAAGAGACAATATAAAATATGTACATCTCAATATAATTATGACGAAATTGCATAACCGACGCGCCTAATTAATCATCATACCACGATATATAAATTAGCATACCTGTTGCCATATTTCTCCGAATTTTGAGATCACATCAAACATGGACGTCGTGTTGTCCAGTGGATTCTCGAAGTTGTAGATCGCCAACACCAAGTATCACAAGTAACCACAACGTGATATTTTACGTATCGAACGAATATTTGACACAATCCGATCAATTCGCGAACAATGTTTTGCGAGCGAGATTCACTTTTAGACGGAAACACAATCGAGAAAAGCAAAAGCGCGTCTCGAATTTTGGTCCGCGATCTGCAACAGTGAGTTGGTGACTGAACGCACTTCCCAAACTATCGGTTGCGATTCTCGAAGTATCGAAATAATCGAGACGATTAGCCAACTTCGGAAGAGACAAGAATATTCAAAAATAAAAAATATATAAAATATAAAAAGGAAACAAAAATTGTTCCACAGGAAGCAAACTAATTACAAATTGTTTCATATAATTTGATTATCAATATGTCCTAATGATGATATCAACAAAGAAAAATAAAAAATAACAAACCGCAATTTTTTAACGCATGTTACCATCTAAATATACCATCAGCACTTTGCGTTTCAACCGCTAAAATATTTGCCGAGAGGGCGTTAGTGCACGGCCTAATTTTTTTCGCAATGCGCGAAAATTAACACCTGCCGCCATATTGTCGATCAATTTTAATCCTTTGAGCCGGAAAAAAATTGTCCGCATCGTTAACATGGATAACGATACATTAAATATAGATTTTACAGGAATAACTCAATACGCCGGAGGTAATTCTCACAATTGTCACGTATTGAATGTTTTAATTAACGTGTTAAAAGAGACGATAAATTGATCATAAAAATTGATACGTAGAATCCGGCGAATTTAGTATGACGAGTATCGATTTTGAGAGCGAACTCCATCAGATGGAGAGCAAGATCAATTATTACAAATCGAAGTTGCAAAGCTGCCGCGACAAGTACGAAAGCGTGCAGATGGAAATAGACGACGCGAAGCGAATGCAGCACAAAGCGAAGTTTGTGTTAAATAACACGCAATTGGAGGAGCAAATTCTTCACGAGCGTCTGAAAGATTTGCACCTCAACTACGAAACGTGCGTAAAGAAATCGGATTTCAAAGATTTGGACAAAACGATTCGCGCCAAAACGAACGAACTGGCGACGCAAAGAAAGACATTGATGGATGAGATAAAGCAATTGAAAAAACACGCCGACGAAAACGACAAGAAGCTCGCTCGCGTAAAGGTCATGATCGCGGAACAAGAAGTAAATAGTTTTTTATGTCGATCGCGTTTAAATTATCACACACAAATGTACAAAAATGCGTCTAATACATATATATTTAGTTTTGAAATCCTGTCTCTTTTCTTACACAGGAAAAGAATATAAATCTGTTCGAGGAATTGAGAACAAAGTCAGAAAACCTAGTGTCTTGTCCGGAAGATATAAAACAACGGATAGACGCTGTTCTCGGACGTCGCAATAGGGACAACGATATTTAAGATACATAATTTGTGATCAATGGCACTTTGTATATAAAAATATATCATAGATTTAATATTTATATAAATCTGATGTAAAACATGCTATTTAACAGTTAGTTATACTTATCGTTAATTTATCGTTTGCCAATATACAAATGAGTTATGTAACATATATACATTTATGTACAGTGTTTTAAAAAGTGAGATCTTAAGATTCTATTCGCTGTCAATCGCTTTAAGACAGGTTGCTAATTGCTCGCGCGTTTTTTCTAACGTTTGCAGCGCGACCGACGCGCGATCCGAAATTCTCTTCATATTGTCGTTCGCGACGCGCACTCGCGATCTACCTTTCGCGATCGTTTCCATCAGTATCTCGTTCTCTCTCTCCATCTGATTCACTCGTATCTCCAGCTCCTCGGTCGCTTCCGTGATCTTGTGCGCGTCCAGGGATCTCATGTGCGCCGTTATATCTCCCGGTGGACGCCTGTAATCAGAAAACGTTACGTTACATACAAATTTAGATGATTTTAATTAAGATGATCTTCCGATCGCGATCTATCATCACCGACCATGCGTCTTCGTTGGAGGACACGGTGCTCTCGTCCAAGAATTTTTCGATTTTTGCAAACGCGTCTTGCAAACTGTTGTCTTTCATTATGTCGTTCAAGTCATTGCTCATGCTCTTGAATAATTCGTTCATCATGGCTTTGTGCAGTTTTTTGGCGGTGCTGGGATTCGACTTGAGGATCGTGAGGATTTCGAGGAATTCATTTTCGCTAAAACAAAAACAAAAACATAACGAAAACGACGTGTCACTGGTTAAGCGAACGAAGATAATGAATGCGCTTCCCGTTGCGCTAAATCAACTCTTAATAATAACGTACGGCGTCATCCGGAAACTCAATACGAGCTTGCACGTTACGCGACTTCGAACTATTCGCTTTATCTCGTTTCGCAGAAAAGCGCCTCTTATCGACCTTTGAGCGACATATGCGGCGTACGTGTGATATACGTGTAAGATACGGCTCTTGCTTCATGGATTCCGCGTGGTGATCGAATTTTTCTTTGTCTCCGACGGCGGAGACAAAAGAACAGCGGTTTCTTCGATCACAAAGGACACTGTTCGACAAAGTTCTAATCACGCCGTTATTGTAATAAGCATACAATAGATGATTAGAGCACAGGATCCGACGTTGTTACTCGGCTACTCGGAAGTTGTAAAAAAAATTAAACGTCTGAGAGGAGACGTTACGTTTATTTTCGCAACTTTCGCACATTGTTCCATGTGCGCGAAAAGCGCCACTTACCTGGATCTTCGGACTGTCATACACAATTGCGCATTGTCAACGTCGATTGGGCAACGTTGTTTCTTGCATACTCAATCAGGCCGGGACTGGTGCAATTTGAAATCAATGCTACATATTTGCATTAGTCCAGACCTAACTAAGCACGCTTCTTGCGCGGTTCTGCGATCGATTTGTGTGTGTGATTCGCTTACATAATTAACAAACCTCCAAATCCTATCGATACACTTCGTTAACAAATCTCGCACGAAATCGGAAATCGGAACAGTTTGAATGTCAGAAATTTATATCGGCGTACGTGGACTAAGTAGTATATTACTCAGACTGCGTAGAACGACGGCGGCCGCTCGAATGCCGAAAGGATACCAATTCCCGGACTGTGCCGCGTGGAGCACGCACGAACGCGTGACGCGTGCACGACACGAATGACCGGCACCCGCCTCAGTCCTTTGTTTCCTCGAACGTTTCGTGGAATTCCTCGAAGGTCAAGTGGACTCTCACGAGGGGAAGGCGTTCCTGGAAGCGACGGCTAACGTCGAAAAGAGATCAAAGACACGGTGGATCACCGGCGACCGCGATGACGATCGCGATTTGACACGAGGCGTATATACATATATATGATACGTAACAACGGACACGCGAGACCACAAGAGTCAAAGAATTACATACAAAGGCCAATGACATCGAGTAACACCGAGCCGCGGCACGTTTGGGTCATCGACGACGTCGATCCCTCCTTCCACACGTCCTGTTTTTCGGTACCCGTTGCTCCGCGTCAATATAAAAGTAATGATTCCGCTCGTAAAAGAAATTCGCTGGACCACCGTCGAACAAAACGATTTCCCGTGCCGATTTGTCTAAAATAAGAGTATTTCAATTTTGCGCCAATTGTCGGCTACTTGTTACACAGATTTTTTTACATTATTTTATTCACACACGCGTTAAATTATCCAAAGTAACAAACAAACGCGTTGTGTTTACAATAATAAATTTGTGTGAGAAATTTGTAACACGTTAACAAAGCCCGTTAACAAAAATTACTGAAACATTGTCCGAGAATCGCAAAAAAAAAAAACCTAGGTATCAAAAACAATCGAAAATCCTACGGAGCGCAAACGGGATGCTGCTTGAGACACTCTCAACCGCATGACGTACTTGACACACTTCTGATAGCTGTTATTGCGCGTCGCGTGCTACACAAGAATTGCAAAGTGGATGCCACCACAACCGGATCTGGAAAAAAAAATTCTGAAAACAAACAAAGTTTCTACCGACCCGCGAAAAGAACGTGACAAAAAGACACAAAAAACTGAGAAACAACGTTACAAGTTGGAACGGTTTTTACAACAAAAAAAAGCGAAGGCTCGAATTGCGCTTTGATCCGATTTCTTGCGCAACCAGAGCTCGCGGAAGAGAACACTCGCGTGCATCAGAAGAGGTTAAGCGCGTCTGAGTTGAAGGGACAAGGAAAAAGAATAAATCGCGCGCGCGCCAAAATCTCGAAAGACGTTTCGCGCGCACGCGTTGTCCGTTCCGACAAGTTGCTCACTTCACCTCACGGACTCGGCGATGTTCCTTAGGCTGTTGGTGACGGCGATCTGGAACAACCGCGCGTTGTTTGGACACCCGGCTTCTCCGTCCTCCGCCATTTCCTCTCGCGGCCGTCTTGTCTCGGTATTCTCGCGCGATCACAAAGCGAGCCGTCAACGACGCCTCATAGTTAACGGTTTTTGCTATCGGCGTGCGATGGGATTTGAACCGCTCGGAAGAATGCCGACGGTGCGAGTTCACGGAACGACTCAGAGATGGCGCTCGGAACGCTCGGCGCTGCCAACTACAGCGGTGCTTCAAAATTCATTGGCGGCACTGTGTGGAGTGGCCGCGTCGTAAATTTTTTGAAATCGATTGCGATCGATAAAAACTTCGCTTTTCGATCTGTCGCAAGAAACATTTCGATCGAAGTCACTTCTTGAGGAATCACCCAATAAAACTTGGCATTGAAATTTTTGTGTTTTCAGTATTCGACAATGACGTTTGGAACGCGGTCTGTAATTGGTATGTTATTTTGACGTTTACAAAAGACCAGCGCAACCAATAAGATCGTTTTGCGCTGATGAAATTATGTCACTCCACTTTCTTCCCTTTTATATTTTTCTACTCAATGCCACTTTTTTCGAAGCGATCAACAATCGGAACCGGTTTGCGATCAATGGAGTTCAGTTCGTGCGAACTATTTGCTAATGTTTGCTAATGATTACGGCGAAAGTTCTACATACGCACGTACATTGCCAGAAGATATCGAAAGTGCAGGATAGCTAATTAATCCTTGTTATGCGATTACAGCATCGCGCGTCAATACACAATATAATTACTCCGTTGATGCGTAATGACGATTAACTGACTGCTTCTTTTTGTGCTGTTATCCGAAGGAATCTGTTGTGTTGTTGTACTTAAAAAGCAGCTGTTAATTGTCGATTGCCTTGTAAGACAAAGAATCTTTTATTCCTTACTGGTTGTTTTTTTTTTTTTATCGGGATAATATTATCCGCAATTGCGCTAATTGCTCTAACAAATCCCAAGGTCTGAACGACGCAACTTTTGAATGAAATTAAATTATAACAGAATAATAACAAAGAGAGAGGCACGAATAGAGCGAGATACAGAGAGTTTTTATATGTTGAACAATTTCAGGTAAGACTCTCATCCTAATCGCTCTGGAATCAGTTGTACACGCGCGTGCGAGTTGCGTCACCGCTCGGGAAACGAGCGCGCGGAGAGGTTTGCTCTTCATCGGCTTCAACGATTTCTCGCTTCGGGGCGACGAAAGTCGTCGGCGGCGAAAGGATTCACCCCCGGCGAGACCTCGGCCGGCAAATCATCTCATTCGTCGGACGATCCTCTCGCGGAGCAAACTTCCTCTTTGTATTCGCGCGCGCAGCGCTCCAAGACGAACGGATCCGCTCTATGACGCAAAATCGGATCGTTCCTAAGCGACGACGCCTTCGTATTTGAATTAGCTACTGCACCCCGTCGCATTACGCTTCTTAAATGTCAGCGACAACGACGAAGAAGAGAGGAGGCCCGCGCGCACACGGCCCTTCTGGGTAAGTGCCTAGTAAACGTAAAGCGGCGGACCGAAGAAGAAGAAGCCGCGCGCGATTTGAGAGCACGGAGAGCGACGTTGCGACGCGCCTTAGTTATATTATGCAACCGCCGCGGCCTGAACTATATTTTCTTTTGCTCGGCTCACCTCGCGCTACCGAGAGATCCGAAGCACCCATTCACTCGGTTCGCCAACGCGCGCGCTAGAGGAGGGCATCGTTGGTGCAACCTAGAGAATCTGCTCATCATTTCTCTTTCTCTCTCTCTCTCTTCCCCCGCTTCGATCGATATGCGACATATAACGATTACCGAGATCGAAATTCCGCGACACGTTTTCGAATTCTGAACGTCGCGAACGACACGCGATTGACGCAATCGCGCAAGTGCTCGCTCATGTTGCGCATGATGGATCACGTCTTCTTCGTAATATTGAGCTTGCTCGAGCAGAAAATCATTGCGCACGTTTCGTTACAGATAATATTATTCCGATTAATCAAAATATATTAAAACGAGGCAAATACAATATTGAAATATTTGCACACTGTAAAATAATATTTCCTCTCTCGAGTGCTCTGAAACGTCCTGTATATCATTCTCAGCGCGAAACATCCATCATGTACCGTAGAAAGTACATATCGAGAGAGATGATCGTGGGAAGATACTAGCCGGCAATAAAATAAAGCCGTTCTCTATTTTGTAGCAATCTGAGGCGAGAGAGTATGAAAATGAAGTAACACAAGAGACGCGCAGACACAATATCCATTAATGACGGAATGCGAGTTCTATAAGGAAAGTTTTAACGGAAAGTAACAAGGCATCCCAATTATGCGACTCGCGAAAATGGTATACACGCTGGGATATCGTGACGTAACGATCTCTTATGTATTTTCCGTTTATTCGCAACACGATCGAGCACAAATTGGCACGTAATTAAGTTTAGCATTTCGCGCATGTGAGGAAATCGATTCTCATATTACGTATCCAAATATATTTATCTCGAAATTATTGACACAAGCGTGTATTTCAAATTTCAACGTCGGAAACTTGGGAGATCGAGTTTATTACCTAACAAACGAATTGTGCGTAAATATTTATACACGTCAATTATCGATGAATATCAGGAATATATCGATAGGGGGGCACACCATGTTAAATGGAGAAACCATCCGCATAATTTCGCGTTACAGAAAGCGAGATACGCGGCAATTCCCGTGCAATCGAAATCCTTTTACTCGGCAAACGCAATTAGCGAGTTATGACGGACTTCTGCGCTCTGCTCGCGCGCACCCCCGGCATCGCGCGCCGGTCTGGAACGCGAGTTGCAATAAACATAAACGTTCGTGATCGCCTCTGTGTATCCCCAGGTGCGCGAGGCGTATAGAAATCACCGATCCGCGATCTTCTTCCTTTCTTCCTTTTTTTGCTCCGTCTCTCGCGGAGAGGAGGTTGCGTCAGGACACCGCGACGCGTAAGAAGAACCACCGAGAAGAGACCGCAGATTTTTTTTCCTCATCATCGACCTCCGACGCAGGCACCTATTCTTTCGAAATAGTGCGATCGCGTGCACGAGGTCGTAAGAAAGAGAGCGGAGAGAGAGAAAGAGAGAGAGTAAGAGAGAGAGAGAGGAGCACCACGCTCCCGCTTTCTGCGCTATCTCCTTATTAAATATCGCTCCTCAATAACGAAGCTCCAGAATACACTTCCGCGATACGCCGTGTTGGAACTCTTGATCGAGTCCGCAAGTCATTGCGGATTAAAGTCCGCATGGATTTGTAACGGCGATCGAATCGAGTGTATATTAACTCGTTAGGCGCGAACAGTGAAATATTATTGCGCAACTTTGAACCGATTTTGTTCAGCGCCTTTTTTTTCGCAGGTACCTAATAAAAATGGCTAAATCAGAGGAATTGAAAGATCATCCTTGCGCAATTGACGAGGGATCCGTAGAAAATTTATTCGAGCGTGGACAGAGAGACGATCAGTCGCGAGAGACGAACAGGCTTACTCTCTTCCTTTCTTCCTTCCTTCCAATTAATTTTTTTCGGTGCCGCATGGATGCGCACGGATACGGAATTCGATACGTTTCGAGGAGTAGCGAACTAATTCGGAGAGGTTCTCGCGCCGATGAATCTTCACCTCTGGCATATAACACGAGCAGCTAAATAGATTAATGCGCGGATAACGAGCTAAAAGGGCTGGCCGTTTCTTCAAAGAATATCCTTGATCGTTCTTCGAGAGCTCCCCGCGGTGACGTCGTAATCTTATTTGTATATCGAGCTCGTTGCGATCACGATCACTCGCGCGATTTTTATCCCGACCGCATCTCTTTGTATCGAAGAGTTTTATTTGTTTAAAATTTCAAATTGAATAATTACACTTTGGCTCTCGGGAATAAGTTCGATATTTAACGATAAAGACTGTGCGATTCGCGCGACGTTTATCGTAGCGCGTTACCTTTCTTTCATCTGTTTTTCCGAATATTTCGCATCGCGCGCCGAGAGAGTCTCGCGTAATGTCAAAACGTCGAGCGCGAACTCTAAATATGGATCCGAAACGAAGTTCAGTCGTTCTATAATGAGAATCTCCCGAGACGCGCACGCAGAGAGACGTCACGTACATCTTTCTCTCCATCGCGAGGTGAACGTGATGTTTATTGGGAAGCGATCGTCGTTTCGTCTATCATCGGCGAAACACGTGAACCCCGGTGACCTAAAGTGGATTGTTAACCAGCGTGTTACGTCGCGTGTGTCGGTATAGCTTCGAACGATTTTAACCCGCGCGCGCGCGAACGGGACTTTTTACGGGAATTGCAAGTGACACTGAACCGCACGTCGAAATTAAGTTTAATCGCGCGAATGCGTAACACCGGCGGATATGTGCGCATCGAGCGGATGATTCTGCGGATTTAAGTTTCTTCTACAACGTTCTTTATCTTGCGTAATCGTTGAATCTATGACACAACCGGATCTGCGATATATACTTCACCTCAATCGTATAATTAGCCGAATATCCAGGTGGTCCAGAGTAAAAACGCGCGCAAACTCCTGACGGGATAATAGCTCTCATTAATAACACTCTCGCCCGTAACAAGCGAAGGTGGCAAAATTTACATCATCTCGTTCGGGACCGTGCGCGCGCGCGCGAAGGAAGAATTAGTCCCGGGTGCTCAGGCACCTAGTTCCCGACCTAGCGTACACACGTGCAACGCACACGCGCTCGTCGGCGTGCACGCACGTACCGATGCGCTCCGGAGATGCTCAACGCACCGGCCGTTGCGCAACGTGGCCGCGCGATTGCGGAGCGCGCGCGTTGCTCTCCATAAAGCCGCGGCGTTCGCAAAACGACGGCGATGGTGATGACGACGACCCCGGCGGCGGGACGGGTGTAATTCCTCGCGTCGAAAGAGCCGATATAATTACAAGGGAGAACGCGCGCGCGTCGGGTGCATGCCATCCGCGTCATCGGTTGCTTTTCTGCGTTTTCACGCCGCTTCCCTCTTTGTCCCGATGAGCAGCCTGCGATGAGCTGAGAATGGACCGAGCGAATCTCTCGCGTAACTCACATCTCGGTCTGGGATTTCAATACTGCGTTATTTCTTTCGTACAACGATAAAAATGAAACAATGAAATCACAGATCTGAGTTAGAATTCTTTGATTGATTTAGTGCACTTTGCTTTAAAATATTGAATTGATGGGATCGTTTACGAGACGTGTATTTATTCGGCGTTTCGTAATGGGAATGAAATGCGAATTTTTTAAGTGGTCGATAACTATATTGTACCACTTGTCTCGTCTCACTTTTGCAGCTTATTGCCTCGACCCTATCTCGTCTTACTTTCATGATGACCCCATTGATCGACCTTCAGGTTCGTTCAGCGATGCCCGCCGATCTGTATCACCTGGGGTTGTTACGCAACCACCCTTCAATTCTAAGCTCGACGATGTTCATCCATAACGAATCAGGCTTCCTTTCTGGCCACCTCCGCTCCCTTTCTCACCGCGTGCTTCTTTATCCGGCATCTCCGGGATCTATCTTCTTCTCTTTTTTTTTTTTCTCTCCGCCGGCGTCTTTCGCAGCGCCGAGGATTGCTGTTGAATCTACGAGAAACGCATCACCGGGTGATCTCCGGCGGCGATGCCATCCGCGCGCCTCGCGCAGTTTCTCATTGGCGGGTGGGAGGAAGACGATCCTCGCGCGGGATCGGTATATAAGCATGTCAGATCCGACCTGGATCCGCGCAGACCAATTATCGTCGTCGGTTTGGAGATACACACACGAGATTCGGGTGCCACTGGCAGTGCGACGCAGTAACATCGCTGAGATTTGATCGACGGGGCGAGATGAGACCGGTATTACGACGTTTCCGGTTGCGCGCGGATCGGTTTTTCGTTTTCGCGTCGATTTCGAATACGAACGAGTAAATCTCGTCTTGAACGGTTTTTGAAACTGTGCGACTTTCGTTTTGCATGTGGAGAAGAAATAAGATATACTGATAAGGAACGATAACTCGATCCGCGGAAGCTTTTTAGTTCGTTACTTTGAGCGGTTCATATTTTCCCAAATCGCTTAATGTAACATCGATCTGTTTCAGCAGCTCGCTATTGTTCTGCTGGCCGTCGTCTGCACGTGCAACGCCGCACGGCTGGACAACACTTACCTCCCACCTGGCAGCGCTGGAAGCGCGGGTGGAGCAGGATTTATTCAACCCCCGGGACGTGGAAGCGGTGGTCCTTTTAAAGTCAGTGGTCCGCTTGGACCAGGCGGTCCCGGTGGCCCTGGCGGACACGGAGGATTCGGCGGACCTAGTGGACCAGGCGGTCCCGGCGGGCACGGCGGAGGTTTTGGTGGACCTAGTGGACCTGGAGGATTTGGTGGACCCAGTGGACCTGGAGGATTTGGCGGACCTAGTGTATACGGTCCACCTAGTGGACCTGGTGGACCTGGTGGACCTGGTGGACCTGGTGGTCATGGCGGATTTGGTCCTGGGGGTGGCGGCGGTTATTCTGGTGGTAAGTAAGACAATGAAGAGGATCACAATTACTTTATCTACTTCGAATTTAAATTAAAAACAATAACTAACTTGATTAACTTATTGTACTTCGAAAATTTTATTCTTTTTTTTCTGGTTTTCACATGACTGAATTTTTAAACTGAATCTTTGGATGAAATTTTTGTTGCAAGTAGAATATTATTTCGTATATCTCAGGTGGACCTGGTGGTGGTGGTGGTGGATCGCGAGGACCTGGCCAGGATATACCCATCATTTCTTTCAATAACGAGAACGCCGGCGACGGAAACTATCAGTTCAGTTACGAAACCGGAAATGGCATTACCGTACAAGAAACAGGTCATCAGCAAGGTAAAAAAGAATATGAAATTGCTTATTCTCCGATTGCTAGAAGCGATCGCGTTTTTGGTCTCAAATTATACCAGCTCTTAATAACCGATTGCCAAACGATTTCGTCTCCAGACGAAAAAATCGTGGAAGTGCTGTGTCGCAACGCGTTCGATACCAAGAGATCGTTGCGTCAAAACCTCGTGTGTGTCGATGTTTCCAGGAGATTCCGAGTCCGTGAGTGGATCCTTCTCCTATACCGGACCTGATGGTGCGCAATACTCGATTACTTACACGGCCGACGAGCAGGGCTTCCATCCACAGGGCGCTCATCTGCCGACACCGCCTCCGATTCCGCCGGAAATTCAACGGGGCGTTGAACTGGCTCTCGCCGCCGAAGCCAGGGGCGAGAATCAAGACGGCAGCTATTCGGGAGAGGGCGGTGGCTATCCGGGAGGAGACGGCGGATATCCAAGCGGAGGTGGAATTATAAAAAGCTCTTGAGCACAATCGCATGTAAGTAACTGTGTTGACAAATTTTCTCATTTATTGTCACAGGAGGCGGTGGCCACGGAGGCGGCTCATATCAGGGACCGAATTCGTACCAGGCAAGTTCAGGCGGTGGATACCGATATTAGATAGCGAATTTGCCAGCGAGTCATCGGTACACACTATATATGCGCAGGACATGCATATCATATCTCCGTGTCTCTCCGACTTGTGTACATAATGATATCATTCACATTTTTTTATTTATATATATACATATACAAATATCTTATTTATGGAATGTTTATTTTCTACCCTTTTTTTTTCTCTTTAAGTCGCTTTTGTATGTCAGGTACCAAGGTGTTCAACTTCAAAGACGCGCTATTTTTTTTTCAACTCGATCTATATCAAACAGTACGACTGTGTGAATTGAGATAGATAAAACTGTGCGACGTATGGATATCGCATATTATTCTTGTAATGTGCTTTTATATAAAAAAAATAGAAACATTATAATTATATATATTTTATTATATATATATATATATATAATCAATTTATGTTATATACTTTCTTTTTGAATAAATAAATGGTATGTTAATACATGTATTATTTTTATAAATAACATATATTTTCTTGCGTTGTAAGTTTTCAGATTTTTTTTTTACACACATATAATGCATATTACACATAGAGAAGTTAGATTAACTAAGCGGTAAAGACTTTTTCATGTACATAATATTTTTAATGTTGCGTTTGTATATATTTTGATGAGATGTTTTATATCTCAATATTTAAAAACAAAATATATACTGTAACAAACTATATACATATCATTATATTTCGTGTGGTCACATTATATATATTAAAAATATATATTATAGTATATATTATTTAAAAAAATATTATTAGACTTGCTAAAATTAAAAACATATAGAAACAGTTATCTCACAATGGTTGCATAATAATTATCTTCCAATATAAATTAGTCCATTATATCGACATGGTTCTTCATTTCATGTTCATATTTATTTAAGCAGAATTACCTAACTAAGTCGTATTCAATTTAGACTTCTTGATGACTAGTATTACTCGAAGACTCTTTAGGCTGCACCATCTCAGCTCCTCTCGCAAACTGAATAAACAATTGCTCCAAAGTTGACGACAAAACAGCGTAATCCTCGATACAGGAATACCTTCGTTTTAGGTCTTTCATCGTATCGTACATCTTTTCCCACGTTGTATTACAGTCAGTTACGTGATAGGCTAGATAACCCTAGAAAACAAGAAATTAATTCAAATTAACAGCAACCGAACGAAACTGGAGAGATTAATAAACTCTTGTTACAAATCGTCTTGAGAACAGAGCGCAATCGTATTACCAAGTTTTCGTCTCTGATTTCGCATGTTAGAGCATTTTCAATAACGATTTTAATATTGCCGAAATCCTCATCCGATCGACCTGGATTCAATTTCACATGGATATCGTAACCAGCTCCAAATTGTTGCTTCAACTCCTGACTCGCGCCGATGCAAACTAATTCACCCTTCACCATAATGACTAGACGATTGCAAAGCGCCTCGCACTCTTCCATGCTGTTGAAAGATTCGGATTTAAAATGCAATTCGGTAAAATAAAAAGTTGAGAATCCAATTCAACACAAAGTGTTTAATATTTCAGTAATTTGACTAATTATGTAAGTAATTTCAACAGACACCTGTGAGATGTAAGTATAATAGCTTGCCCCGCTGCCTGACACGACTGCAAAGTGTTCCACAGTGATCTTCGGGCCGCAGGATCGACGCCAGTTGTAGGTTCGTCCAGAAGAACGAGAGTGGGATTACCTATCAGTGCTATCGCTATGTTTAAACGTCTTTTATTACCACCGCTGTAAGTACCGCTTGGCTGTGACATACAGGCAGTTAAATCTGAAAGAATATATGTAAATTGTCGTTTTTTACAGTATGGGGTCTACATAAAATAGCTTTTTTTCTGAATTTTTTTATCGTCACTCACTCAGTCTGTTAATCCATTTATTAACTTCCAATTCTACGTTTGTCTTTGGTATACCACGAAGACGTGCAAACAGACGTAAATGATCGAATGTGTTCAAAGATGATATTAAAGCATCGGTTTGCGGACAGTATCCCATTTCAGAAAGGTACTATAATCAGAATTGTTTAATATCATAAACAATTATATTATATATATATGTATATGTAAACATTAAATTGAACATAGATTATCTTTACTTTTTTCCTATCTGAATGAATTTCTGCTTTTCCTAAGTACATTATGCCACTGTCGGATATCTCTTCTCCAGTTAACATTCTAAACGTGGTGCTCTTCCCGGCGCCATTTACGCCAAGCAATCCGAAACATTCTCGCGGTTTCACTCGAAAGCTGATCTCCTTTACCGCCATTAGTTTACCGTAATACTTACTCAACTCGTACACCAGAAAGAGACTGTTATTGTTATTTATCGGACTTTGCAGTAGTTCTGAATTCGAGATTGAATCTTCCGCCTTGACTTCCTCTTTCTCGACGTTCACATCTACATCTAAAGAATCGGTTGTCGTGTTTCAATTTTTCAAAACAATATTCATAAACTCCCACAAAATTATTTTTACCTTGACTATTGATTCTGTTGATTTCAAGCGCTACAGCAAGCTTTTCTTTCTTTACTTGCTCGTCCATCACGTCTTGCGCTTTCTTCAACCCACGACCGATCATCCTTTTAAATAACTTCAAAAAGAATTTTTCCTCTATCATGATCAATACAGCAAAATACAAAATTGGTGTAATAGATAGATACAGTATATTCTCCTCAAAATTCATATCATCTTCAAAATCTTTGAAATAAGACAGTTGGTTTTTACAAACTCCATCCGCACAATCCAGATCTGAAAAACAATAGATAAAATCAATTATTTTTTTTATTCTAATAAAACGAGTGAAAGCGAATTGATATTTTATGCGAAATGAGACGATCTTACCGCAGCAAATATCGCCACCAAGACAGGCCACTTTGTGAAGAATGTTTGGTAGACGTCGACATCTCGCGTTCTGCAATGCTATGTTGAAAAAAGCATACTGACCGTGGAACAAGCTTATGTGAGGAATTAGGCGGAAAAATCTCTTTTGCAGAACGTGTAGCGTTTTTAGATTATCAAAGCTGTGTATCACTTCGTGTAGAAGATACTGTATTAGAACTGAAGTAAAATTGTTTTTCAGTCATTGAACTGTTTGCGCACTTTGTTTAATACATAAAATGTTATACATATATCAAAAACTTGATCAATATTTTTGATAAATGTGTTACAACAGACTTACCGAGACCAGTAGGCGCGAGTCCCAATATAATTATTATCGTATTTCTCGATTTATTCATGAAGCTGAACAGGTACACAACAAGTAGAACATTAATGCCAAACAGTTCCAAAAGTAATATTGTATACACTGTAGAATAAAAATAAATGTAAAGAGATAAAACAAATACATAGTAGTATCCATCAGTATTTAACAACAAGATCTGTAATAAGAACTTACATATTTCTACTTTATAATATAAACGAATATCAAGAATAATATCCATGACACACAGAGCGAGAGTGATTAACAGTGCGCATATTGTATATATTAAAAAATCGAAAGCAAACATTGTGCTCCAGTACGACACCGATGTAACACCGGTCATACGTTGAAGTTGCTTGACTTTTGTCATGGTTTCTTGCAAAGGATGTAGCACAAAAATCGCGACAGTAGGAAAGAAAAACGAGCAAAATATCAAGACGCGCGAGATCGATTCCGCTTCCGGCGCCATTATTCTGCTTGAGAAAAGCGTGTTCGGCAATTGTTGCCTGGATACACTAATCGAGTACTCATCGCCGCCATACGCCTTGATAAGCGAATTACTTAAAAGATTCATCGTTAACGGTATGCTGTGAACTGCTATACCAGAATAAAATCCATTGGCGTTTATTGTGTCGTTATCACCAATGTTAAATTCAGCAGATATAATAAAATTGTTGCGATATTCCGCGATACTTGCAACAGAAGAATTCAGAAGAGCTGAAAAACAAAAACAAAAAATAAAAAACACTCATTTAGATAATTTTTTTTTTAATTTGACATGAAATCAAAATCTATCTACCATCTGTAACATTATTTGTTCGCATTGCAGATTCGCCAAAACTTCTAACAGCGTCTTCATACTTTTGTCCAAGCGTTTTGATTTGATTGTCTGAAGAATAAAAAGTTTTCGGATGTCTGTACATGTCAAGTTTCAACGGAACAATGTCTGTAGAATCACTTGGTATTTGATAACTTAGAGCCATTAAGAGTACTGACAAAATAGGAAGAATATTCTGAAAGAAACATACATCACATCATGTGTGAGCAATACACAAATTATCGTTTTTCTTTCTATAAAACTTTTGTCACGCGAAAATACTTACAATAAGTAATAAGGTAGTTAGATTTTTTCTAGTGTATGTAAATTTCTTGGCGAATAATGCAAATATCGACTGCATGAATAATTTGGTGCCTTGAAGTTTCTCCATCGACGCTGTAAATAATTCATTCAGGTGCTTTCCGTTGTCTTCATTTTTCACAACTCTGCAATAAATTGCAAAATGACAAAATAACAAAAGTGACGAAATGACGACGTAAAATATCCCTCGGGAAACGTACTTCAAAAATACTTGTTCCAAGGTGATTAGCGACACGCTTATACCAGTAACTCCCAAGTTCTTCTTTTGACTTTCTACTTTATCTAATGATTGCGGCAAAGAATCGGTATAAGGTACGTTCAAAACGATCTTTTCACTGTCAACGCTGAGCTGTTGTGTTTTTGAGTCAAATTGACTTATTACTTTCTCAGGAATGCACCAAGACTTGGTCGATAACGTAACTTCTATGTGTCCGTGGCCTAACACAGAACAGAGAGTTGTAACTTATAGAACGAAAGTTCTGATTCGACTTATATGTATCGATATGTATAAAATAATGTATCTTACCGTGTTGTTTTTTCAAAAACATTGAAGTGCCGTAACATTTAAGACGACCTCCATGTACTATCGCAATTCTATCACCTAATATATCAGCTTCTTCCATATTATGTGTGCTAATTAATATTGTTTTTTCACCTCTAAGTTTCTGTTAAAAAACATTAATAATGAACTGTCACATAGTAACCTAAAGGAGTAAATTAAAAATTTATTAAAGTTATAAATTACCAATATAATATCCCACGTATCTCGTCTGGTTTCGGGATCCATTCCTGACGTTGGTTCGTCCAAAATTATAGTCTATAAAAATAAATTTATGTTAAGGAATTATTACGTTATGTTAATAAAAAATGTTACATTTCCGTCGAAATTTACGCTAGCATTGCCAATAAGTGCCATCCCAAGACACAGTCTTCTTTGCTGTCCACCGGAAAGTTTGCTAGGAAGAACATTTTTCTTTTCAGAAAGCTTTAGTTTCCAAAGTAAAGTGTTAACACTTTTCCGAACTTCCTTTCTACTTTTATTTTCAGCTTTTAACTGAAACATAATAATCATGTATGTCACGCACAATTGTTCTTTCTTTTACTTTTTCATAAGCGCGAAAGTTATTATTCTTACCAAGCCAAAAAATTCTATTTGTTCGAACACACTTAAATCTGGAAAAACCATGTTTTCCTGAGGACACAATCCCAAGTCATTTCGAATGCTAGTTAAATGTTTTCGTATATTTTTCCCGTTTATAAATACTCTGCCTTCCGTTTCGCTTATCACACCTAGTGAAAATAACGCAGTAATAAGTAGTAACGCGCATGAATTTTTAATAAATATATTATAAATTATTCAGACGATAAGATCTTGCAATGCAATATAACACCTGTTAATATAGACATAAGCGTAGTTTTGCCCGCTCCGTTATGTCCGAGCAGAGCAGTAATCTGTCCTTTGTAGAAATCCACAGAAATTCCTTTTAACGCATGAACTTTCTAAAAAAATATGCAACATTTTATATTAATTTAACATTACGAAAAGAAAAACTTGTAGTATTTTATATTGAATATAAACTGACGGATTTTCGTAACCAGCTCGTTGTGTACGATTTTTTAAGATCACGTATTTGTATTCCGGGTGTAAGCGTACCACCCAGCACCGGCTCGAAGTCTTCGTTGATTTTATCGTAATCGAACTCACCAGCATCTTCGTCGAGGAATACTTTATTACTCTTGAAACACTGTAAAATAAATCGCATAAAAAATATTCTGTAGGCATATAGGTTGCGTCATTGCTTTCAAACTTGCCTTCAAAAAATATAATGGACTTTTTGCAACTCCATATTTGCCAGGGAATATAGCGTTTATATACACTGCAAGTGTAAAATGTATCACAGCACCCAAGATTGAAAAGAGGAATATAAATCCGGAACATCCTACGAGGCTGTATTGTGAATTTGCAGGAACGAAAATATTGTCCCATTGAATACCAATTACTAAAAAAAAAAAAAAAAACAGAACACGTAGTGACAATTGATCTCTTAAATAGTTTGTGTATATATTCTGCAACTTTTATTTATCTACACGACGTAGAAAATCAAGATAAACAAATTAAAATGAATTGCACAACGTACATTTGGCTTCATAGGCATTCGTTTCTTCAAAAAATCTAAATAGTAAAAAGTTCGGAAATATTATACCAAAATATGATATCACTTCAAAAGATCCGTCTTTTGCTACATGTTGATGAAGAGAATGTAATGCCGTGTATATAATACATAAAGCAATTGTCACAAAGAGAGCTGTAAATATAAATTAGAGATATTGTAATAAATTATTATTTTGTATATTATACAAAACAATACCGAGAGACTTCGAATTTATAAGTGGGGATTATTTACTTACATCTAGAAAAGTACGCGGAAATGTGCATGCCAAACGTTATAAGATGAGCGACGTGTGCGGTGAACAATAGCCAGAATATAAATCCGTTCCCATAATACAAATAGGCTTCAACGTTTTCAGTAAAGGTGTGTTTAAATAATATAATTATCGGTATTATGTAAATGACACTGAACAAAATTCCTGTGAGCAGCCAACTTAATAAGTTGTAGACCATTTTGACTCCGTTCATCGCCATTAGAACCTGCGAATGATAAAGCGGATAAATAAATTGTTTCAAGTTTCATTAACTGTATAAAAAAATCTCCAAAAATAGTTTTAAACAATTGCACTAACATTTACACCGATAAACTTCTCTTTAGATGCGTAGCTCGCTTCTACACAAAGTGGTATTACAAAAATTGTGACTGCAAATGAACAAATTACTTGACGTACTAGTACGTCAGCAGGATCTATCTGAACATGTGGCGGATACGGCATTCGTTGTATTGATCTCTGAAAAACATCAGCCACAGTAGTAAACACATGTATAAATATTATATAGATTTTTAAAATATAAGTTTTGAAACAGTTTAACGCATTATAATCTTGATGTACACGTTTGATTTAACATTTTTGAAACTATTCAATTTTTTACCTTTATGTTCGGCATAGAATTCGATCCTGCATTATTTATAAGAGCTGCGTCTACGCACATTTGTAATTGTACAAATGGAGTTACTGAGGTATACACTGTGGGCCGTCCGGACATTCCTTCAGGTTCTATTGACATACTTTCAAACAAATTGTTAGAAATTTTCCAGGAATGTCTAATTTTATATTTTATAAAAGGTTTCTCGTATTGTTCAAAAACAACCGCTAGCACAGAAAACATTGGCTCTTTTGCCTGAGAATATACGTAAGTATTTATCATTTCAGTCTCATTAGAGAAACCTTGCACATCTGCACAACAACAAAAAACACACATATTAGTAAATACTAATTAAAATATAAACAAAATTTTAGTTTTTTTCTCAAGTGACCACTTACTCTCAGGAAGAATCCAACAAGACTTTCTGGCAGATTCCATGATGCTGTCTGTAAAAGTATTGTTTGGCAAATAATAAATATGAGTTAAAGTATTTATTTGCTCCTTTAAAGCTTCTTCCGATTCTATTTTATAGTATGTACTTTCATTCATATAAACTGGTACTTGAGCGCTAAAATCTCTCACAGCTTGTAATAACGCGAATAATCCAATAGGTATCAAAGCTTGTATGAATAGTGTCATACACCAATGTCTCTTGCGTACGAGTAGATTCTTGTATATCAACAAGCCGAAGATTTTTAATGCACTAGCCATTTTTTTGTTTGTTTTTTTTCTTTTTTTTATTTAAAAAACACCTCAATGATTTATCAGTAGATTCTTAAATATGTATCAGATTTATCAGTAGATTAGCAGTGTACACTTTCATTAAGTGCAGTATATACCATTTGTCATTGAAAGAATATGAAAACTTCTAAATAATTTATCAGAATTGATGTATATAGTGGCCTCTCACCACTTCAAGCTTATATATATAATACGATATGTGAATCTGTGTACTTATATATAGTGCCCTTGAACATCAAATGACAGAGTCACTATTTACTTCAGCATGTTTGTAAGATAAGGCATAGCGTTTATTACTTCTTCCATAAACTAGTATTTTGAAATATTGTTGCCATAGCAAAAGTTTCGTCTAGACAAAAAAAAATTTCTTTTATTGCTATACAAGCAAGACAATATATGTATAAATGTAATACAGTGTTTACTAATTATATATACATAATAAGATGCATAATTATAATAAATGAAGATAAATTTTAATTTAACAAATTTATACCAAGTGAATAAATCATGTATTATCAGGAATATACAATATATATATATATATGTATATGTATACTCATACTTTTTTCTTCATACAAGATAGATAAGATTAAACAGAAATGACAGTTGAACAATAAAAATATTAATGAAAACATTATGTCACAAGAGACTTGCAAGAACTGATTATCCAGAATATACAAATGGTTTTTAACAATAAATTTAATATGATTTAAATGATCACAATTATATCTAAATCTAGAGATTTAAAATCATTAAAACACTGCAGTTTACTGATTATGTATTCATGTTATGCACTATATGCGAATATGTAGTTACATTTAATTTGTTAACTGACTCACGTAACGAAAATGCAAATGTCAAACGCAATTATAGAAACAACTGTTTTAATTTCGTCAATGTTCGGAGCAGTATATTTATGTTTAATAATCATCGTGTTTCAACATGTGTGAAACACAGAACAAATAACGTAACGAACACGTAACGTGAGAACTATGTATGTTGCAATAGGCGTGGATAAAAAAAGAACAGATATATATAAATATAAATATCTGAGAATAAATTTATTATATTAAAATAATTATATGCGTGTACTTACAAAAAGCTGCTGTTTAACGGAAGTGTTTTACCTCTTGATAAATCACTCGACACACAATGCTATCTATTTTGCAAAGCTTCATTTTATCTTACTGTATCTCATTTTATCATACTGTTATCACGATAACAAATCATGGTAGAATTTTGACATCAAATACGCGACTATGCTGCAAATACACCGCAATGTGTCATGTACGTCAATACTTGACGCTATATAGGCACGCGACAGTACGCAGAAACCGCGTCACACACACGTCATTTAACAAATGTCAAACATTGGCTGTGCTCCAAAATTCACTGCCAGCGCTAAAGATCTATACGTTTACGTCACATATATTATACAATTTTAGCGTGCTGGAAGCAATTTTTGAACACAGCTAGTAGCAGAGAGAAGCCTGAGAGCGGCCAGGTTCATAAGAGAATGTGTAATCACTTTTCCGCCCCGTAAACTAGCGCATGTCCACGAGTGGTACACATTGGAACTACGCACCCAATCCACGAGCGACATGTCGGTGCACTATGTCCACAGCGTGCGGTTCTATTCTGTGCTATGTGCACGTGTTTAAATGGTCACTTTCTTTAAGTGTGCGAGTATATTCGAGAGCGTGAATTTAATTTTTTTAAAATTTAAAATGACCGATCTCGTGATGAGAAGATGAGAAAGGAAAACAGAAAAGAATAAGAAAAACCATTGCAACTTTTCGTACAACATAAATGTGATATACCAGAAAAGATGTGATAGTCAAGAAAAGAATCTTATTTTAG